CCTTCAAGTATCCTGGGGGGGGGGAGGGGGGAGAGGCTCCTTCTTTAGCCAGCTGAAGACACAATCAACTCAGGATTGAATAAGGACTGGGAATGGCTGAGCCATTACAAACATTGAGTCTATCTCCCCTTGTAAGTATTCTCACACTTCTTATCAAACTGTCTGTACTGGGCTATCTTGATTATCACTTCAGAAGTTTTTTTTCTCTTACTTAATTGGCCTTTCAGAGTTAGTAAGACAACTCCCACCTGTTTATGCTCTCTGTATGTGTGTATATATATCTCCTCAATATTTATTCCACTCTGTATGCATCCGAAGAAGTGTCCACGAAAGCTTATGCTCTAATAAATTTGTTAGTCTCTAAGGTGCCACAAGTACTCCTGTTCTTTTAAGGGTACTACTCTTTGTTTTTATGTATATCTAAAATATGCATGTTTTTCAATGTGGACAAGTTTTTAATTTTTTAATTTACTGATTGGACAGTGGTGTATTTTTACATTTGAAGAAGGCGCTTTCCTGGGATCAGGAGATGACCAGTAATGCTCATTCTCATGTTGCCATTCTCCTGTTTCATGGAGTCAGGCATAGTCCACAGACTGGTACGCTGTGTGCTTGGCAAGCAGGGGCTCAGGGAAATGCTGAAATCCTGTCTGCCTTGTTTTTGTGATCCCACTACAGTGCAGCAAGAGAAGGGCTACAGCAGCCTGCAGGATGAAGCCATCAAGATCTTTAACTCTCTGCAGGAGATTGAGACAGTGTCTGATCCCATCCCCATTATCCAAGGCATTCTGCAGACCTGCCATGACCTAAAGCCCCTTCGTGATGAAGTGTATTGTCAACTAATCAAACAAACTAACCACATCCCACAGCCCAACAGTTCTGGAAACCTTCACCACTGGCAGCTGATGTCCTGCATGAGCTGCACTTTCCTTCCCAGTAGAGGGATCCTCCGCTATCTCAAATTCCACCTTAGAAGGTAAGAGCCACTTTGCAGATACTTGCCACTTCTTTCACTAATTCCATCATCTTTGACTTGGGACTCTAGAAACCTAGCTAGCCTCTCTTTCCTCCATGGCCAGCCCCTGCTACCTCCTGTATTCTAGTGTTCATCTGCTTCTCCCCCTCCACTGGTTCCTATGGTATTGCAGCCTTTATCCTGCACACCTAGATCCTGCTACCTGCTGTTTTACAGCATTCAGCCTCCTAGCCCCCTGCTTGCCTTGTCACAATAGAAAACATTATAATTAAGTTATGACTGTATTCTGCTTTAACTTTCTGTTTTCATTCATTAAAGTCATTGGAGCCAGGGGACTGGGTCTCCCACCCAGGTGGGTGCCCTTGTCACATTGTCTGGAGTGGCTCATGCGAGACAACAACAAATGTGAACTCCTGAATCACTACAGCAGTCTTACTTTGGAGTCACAGACAGTCCCCTTAAACTCTCCAGTCTATCTTGCCACCCAGACAAACTGGATTTATTGATAAATGGTCACTTACAGCAAAAATCACACCATATTTTAGTTGCTTCCAGTCCCAAGGGACCAATCACTTTACTAGATCAATTGGTACCCTAGATCTTACATGAAGACAATGCCTGTAGTCAATCCCGTAATACACTACCTAAAGGTGTATTAACTAGGAAAAATAAATGAGTTATTTACAGGTTAAAGCAAGCAAACGTATACCCACAACTGAGTTACCATCTAAATCCTAAGAGTGACATATTTGTAGAGATCTGTCGGTTCAAGGTGTCTTTTAGGGTGGACCCAGGAGATAACCCCCGGGGCTCTCTGGCTTCAGTTTGGTGTCTCTAGCCATGTGAGTGTTCAAACAGCAAAGAGATGAAAAATCTTCACATCAACTATTATTTCCCTCTTCTAGTATTCAGAGTGATGGGACGAGACCTTCTCCATGGGTGGATGGGATGATTAATAAAGCTTTTGTCTTATAATTGCCCATTTAAATTTTGATAGTCCTCCTATGGGCGGGGGATGGGATGACAATTCCCGTACCTGGGTTCACAAATTCAGAGCAAACATTTTCAAAGTTATGAAGCAAAACGTACACATTTTCTTATAGCATGGAATACAGACATTATAAGTGAGATTAATGCAGGGAGCAACTTACAAGCATTCCATAGAGTCTAAACACTAAATAGATTCTTATAAAACTAATATCTATTTTGAGCAAACTAACATATAGTTGAACTGATCTGGTCTCCATCTATGAGTATGTCAGTTCTTACCTAATGCCTGCAGTCGTGGCAAGAGCTGGCACCTGGCCTGCCAGCATCACAGCCCTAACCACTGGACTATTCTCTCTCTCTCTCTCTCTGTCCCCATGACTCGAAAAAATTATATACAGCTTCAATAGGAGAGATTGGGGGAGTCCCACATCAGAATATCCCCTAGCCCAGTGGTTAGAGCACTCTCCTGAAAGTTAAGGGAGACCCCTGTTCAAATCCTTTCTCCCCCTCAGGAAGAGGGGGAGAATAGAATCTTTCGCCCCCATCCAAGGTTAAGTAAAAGTTGTAAGGGGAGTACCACATCCTACTCCTCTGGACATTTTATGTGGAGTAAGGCAACTACCTAACTCATTCTCACAAGAAACAACGTAGGCACCTAAGCTGCCTGACTCCAGGGGAGGGGCTCCTGACTGTGGATCACAAACAGAGGAAAGGGCCTTGCTGCAGTCTGGACTTAGGTGCCTAATTCATTGAGGGCGTGGGGCTTAGGACACACCCTTCTCATAGGTGTCTCCCATTGGCTAACTTAGGCAGCTCCCTGCCTTAGCATACTGGTTTTGTGGATCCCATTCTCAGGCACCTCTCCTCCCCATTCATTGTATGGGGAGCGTAGGCGCCTAACTTGGGCTTTGTGGATCTCATTGTTGTTCCATGAATTTTCTAGGCACTGAAAAGTTAGACATCGTGACTTTGAGCATTGCAATGCCTAAGTCCCTTGGTGGATCCGGGCCTTTTTTCGTATGGCTGTACTTGGCAACACATTTCTGTGAGATGCTGTGCTTATGGTACTCCATGCTATGTAGAAATCTACCTGCATTTAGACATGTTCTGTTCACCACGTAACAGCTTTTCTGCTTTTCTTTACAATTAGAGTAAAAGACCTCTTTCCAGGCACAGAAATAGACAGGTATGCCCAGTTCATCAATGATTCCCTGAAGAGAACCAAGACCAGGGAGTTTGTGCCCTCCCAGGAGGAAATACTGGCTCTCATCACTCGTGAAGAAATGACCACAACTGTGTACTGCCATGGCGGTGGCTCCTGTAAAATCACCATCAACTCCCACACCAGTGCAGGAGAGGTAATAGCATAGGTGGTATTAATGGGCGCAGGAAGGTAATAGGATAGGTGATGGTAGTGGGTACAGGGATGTCTGAGATTGTCTGAATAATAAGCTTTTTGAGGGGGAGACCTTGCTGCCACTCAACCCCAGTTCTCAACTGCTACAGTGATGAGGGACATAAAGAACCTACAGAGAGAGAACTGTTGTTTGAATGTTCAGAAACACTGTCTGGAAGTTCCTAACCACTGGAACAAACTCCCAAGGAAAGTGGTGGATTCTCCATCTCTTGATGGCTTCAGATCCAGACTGGACATCTCTCTGGAAGTTGTGCTTTAGTCAAACTCAAGTTATTGGGCTCAATACAGAGGTAACTGGGTGAAATTCTCAGGCCTTTGATATACAGGAGGTCAGACTAGATAATGTGATGGTTCTTTCAGGCCTTAAATCTATGAATCTATGAAAAGAAATAATTTAACAGAATCCTGCTTTCCACCTCTGAGATGAGAACTTTGGGCTGTTACTGGGTGAAGCAACACTGACATTCTCCTGCATGTGATCAGATGGATTTGGAGCTCTAATGGGAGGAAGTGGCTTTGGGGCTCCCTCTTCCTATTTTAAAGGCTGACTCCTGTGTGAGTGATAATACCCAACGTTGTACAGTACACAAGGTGTCTGATCTCTCTCCCCTGCAGGTGGTTGAGAAGCTGATCCGAGGGCTCGCCATGGAGGACAGTCGTAATATGTTTGCCCTCTTTGAACGCAATCAACACGTGGACAGGGCCATTGAGAGTCGTGTAATTGTTGCTGATATCCTTGCCAAGTTTGAGAGGTAAGAGAACATTTCAGAGATCCTCATACTGATGACTCTTGACTGAATGGGTATAACATTAATTCTGAAATTCCCTGGTTAAGTGAGTGACCCTTATGCTGCTTGATAGCGTGTATATGTACCATGAGCTCAGGGCAAACACCCTGTCAGCTGCTTCAACCACTTGGCCCCCATAAGTTCTAGCCCTTGGTAGGTTACATGTAATAAATCATGCACACATTTGTTGTAGTGATAAAAAAGAATTCATTAGATTCCAAGGCCAGAAGAGATCACTGTGATCATCTAGTCTGACCTCCTCTATAGCACAGGGCAGAAACCTTCCCAAAAGTAATTCCTAGAGCAGATCTTTTAGAAAAAGATCCTATCTTGATCTTAAAATTGTCTGTTTGTTAAACTCAATAGATTGAGCAACTTAAATCAATCACTATAAAGCAGATTTTCTAATTCTTTAATTATTCTTGCGGTCTTCTCTGAACCCTCTTCAATTTATCAACATCCTTCTTGACTTGTGGGCACCAGAACTGGACACAGTATTCCAGCAGCAGTCTCACCAGTGCCAAATAATGAGGTAAAATAACCTCTCTGCTCCTACTCAAGATTCCCCTGTTTATGCGTATAAGGATCATGTTAGCTCTTTTGGCCACAGCATCGCACTGGTAGTTCCTGTTCAACTTAATTATCCACCACAATCCCCAAATCTTTTTCAGAGTCTTTGCTTCCCAGGATAGAGCCCCCAATCCTGTAAGTATGGCCTACAGTCTTTGTTCCTAGATGCATACATTAACATTTAGCCCTATTAAAATGCATATGATTTGGTTGTGCCCATCTTACCAAGTAATCCAGATTGCTCTGTATCAGTGACCTGTTTCTTCACTATTTACCACTCCCTCTATTTTTGTTCATCTGCAAACTTTATCAGTGATGATTTTATGTTTTCTTCCAGGTCAGTGATAAAAAATGTTAAATAGTGTAGGGCCAAGAACTGATCCCTGTGGCACCGCACTAGAAACACGCCCATTCAGTTATGATTCCCCATTTACAATGACATTTTGAGACCTTATCAGTTAACTAGCATTTAATCCATTTATTGTGTACCATGTTAATTTTATATCTTTCTAGTTTTTTAATCAAAATGTCGTGGTACAGTGGAGTCGCATCATAGGTGCATTTAACTTACGCAATTTTAACTATACGCGCCCGGCAAAACAAAACAAAAAAAAAGAGAAAAATAACAATTTAAATACTGTATCTGTAGTGCGGGCAATTCCGCCTGCCATTCCACTCAATGAGTGTTTGACTATACGCAATTTTCGCCTTACGCGCTGACTTTAGAACCTAACCCCCGCGTAAGATGCGACTCCCCTGTACCAAGTCAAATGCCTTTAAAAGTCTAAGTATATTACATCAACATTGTTACTGTTATTATCCAAACTTGTAATCTCATCAAAAAAAGAGATCAAGTTAGTCTGACAGGACCACTTTTTCATAAAACCATGTTGTTTGGATTAATAACATTGCCCTCCCTTAATTCTTTATTAATCAAGTCGCATATCAGCTGCTCTATGCTCTTGCCTGGAATCAGTGTCAAACTGACAGGCCTATAATTACCCAGGTCATCCTGTTTACTCTCTTTTAATAGTGACACAACATTACCTTTCTTCTGGTCTTCTGGAACTCCCCAGTGTTCCATGACTTACTGAAAATCAACATTAATGGTCCAGTAACTCCTCTGTCAGCTCTTTTAAAATTCTTGGATGCAAGTTATCTGGACCTCCTGATTTATAAATGTCTAACTTTAGTAGCTGCTGTTTCACATCCTCTTGAGTTACTGTTGGGATGGAAAGAGTGTTATCACATGTGACGACATCATCTGTTTTTTTCCTAAATACAGAACAGAAATATTTGAACACTTTTACCTTTTCTGAGAGCTTGGCCGCCACAGGAACTAACTCCGCGGGGGTGGGGGGGCCACGGGCCATGTGTTTGAGACCCCTGCTCTAAAACATAGGCTGTGTCACCTCAAGGGCCACTGAACCTTTTCCAATTCTTGCCCTTTATTGGAACCCTCCTGACGGTCTGAAGCCTGGAGAGACGGCTGTTCCATCCTTGGCTGCTTCTCGCTGCCTGCAGGATGTTGGTCTATCTCCCGCAAGGCGGCTGCTGACTCAGGCATTCTTGCCCCCAAGGTGCTGCTTGCTGGGTTCTCTGCAGTGCCTGAGTATTTTCACACCTTTTGTGCCACAAGTCAGCTGCCTTGTCCAAACACTAGCTCTGCTAGTCACAGCAGACATTCCTCAAGTGATCTGCCAAGGTCTCAGCCCCAGTACAGTGTTGCATAGCTGCCTCCCTGCTGGGCTACTCTCCTTAGGCCTGCTCTAGGCCGGTTCACATCCACTTCCCCTAGTCATTCAGGGGCTGTTTTGCCTAGGCCCAGCTCTCCCAGGCTCTACCTACGGCCAAACTACTATGCCATCATCTGGCCTCTCCTTTACAGTCCATTCCCAGTCTTCCCTCTATCCCTCTTCTTACACAATCTTCTCTCTATCTGTCAGTCTTGGTTCCTTATCTGTTTGTCACTGTCTGCTATTCCTGCTTACTCCAGATCACACCAGGCCCTCTATTATTCTAAGGCACTATCCCTTTGATATTGAAGCACAACTAAAGTGTGACTCTGGACCTCTACCCACTAAACAGGAAGAGGAGGTGGATAAGGTATTTCTAGAACAAATAACAGAAATATCCAAAACACAGGACCTGGGAGTAATGGGAGACTTTAACTATCCAGATATATGTTGAAAAGTCACATGGCAAAACACAAAATGTCCAGTAAGTTCTTAGAATGTATTGGGAGCAAATTTTTGTTCCAGAAAGTGGAGAAAGTAACCAGGGAGACAGCCATTTTAGACTTGATTCTGACCAATAGGGAGGAATTGGTAGCGAATCTGAAGGTGGAAGGCAATTTGAGTGAAAGTGACCATGAAATGAGAGATTTCATGATTATAAGGAAAGGAAGGAGTGAGAGCAGCAGAATGAGGACAATGCACTTTAACAAACTCAGAAAATTGGTAGGTAAGGCCCCATGGGAAGAAAATCTAAGGGAATAAGGAGTTCAGGAGAGCTGGCAGTTTCTCCAGGAGACAATATGAAAGTCACAAGTCCAAACTAGCCCAATCCGAAGGAAATATAGGCAGAATAAGAAAAGGCCAATATGGCACCATCAGGAGCTTGTTAATGACCTGACAATAAAAAAGGAATTCTACAGAAAGTGGAAACATGAATTTATTACTACGGAGGAGTACGAAGAGTAGCAGCAGTATGTAGAGACAAAATTAGAAAGGATATGCACAAGAAAGATGAAGGAAAATGTAGGTCCTCTACTTAGCAGGGAAGGAGAGTTAATAACTGATGACATCAAGAAAAGCGGAGGTGTTCAATGCTTTTTTTGCTTCAGTCTTCATTAGAAAGGTTAATGGTGACCAGATACTCCACACAATTAATATTAACAACAAGGGGGAAAGAAATGCAAGACAAAATAGGAAAGGAACAGGTTAAAGAATATTTCAATAAGTTGAATGTATTCAAGTCGTCAGGGCCTGATGAAATTCATCCTAGGGTACTGAAGGAACTAGCTGAAACAATCTTGGAACCGTTAACAATTATCTTTGAGAATTCGTGGTGGATGGGTGAGGTCCCAGAAGATTGGAGAAGAGCAAACGTAGTACCTACCTTTAAAAAGGGAAAGGAAGAGGACTTGGGGAATTATAAACCAGTCAGCCTAATTTCGATACCTGGAAAGGTACTGGAACAAATTCTTCTTCTTCGGGAGATGTCCCTGTGGGTGCTCCACTCCAGGTGTTGGTGTGTCCCTACGCCTTCACTCAGAGAATTTTACAGCAGTGCCCGTACAGGTCGCACATGCGCAGTGCCTGCCTCGTGCACCGTTGGCAGTTGAAGTATCATGCGCGTGACCTGGACTCCTTAGTTCATTCTCAGCCATCCCCAGCCTGAGACGGAGCTCCGCAGTCCCAATGAAAACCTGTAATTTAATTCAGATATGCTACATAGTTAGTGAGTTTTAGTAGCTTTCTAGTAGTTAGGTTTTGTTTATTAGCTTACTTCCCCATTTTGAAAAAAAAATTCTTATTTTACCCCATAGTATAGTTAATTCTAGTTTGTGATAATGCCAGGTTCACCAGGCTTTAAGCGATGCACTATGTGCAGAGAAGTGATGCCAGTGTCAGATGGACACACTCAATGTGTTCACTGTCTGGGTGAATCCCATGTTCCCCAGAAATGTGCCCTTTGCAGCAAACTGAAGACAGGGACCTGAGGCTTAAACTCATATTAATGGAGAAGTCCTTGAGACCAGCCTCTGACCCAGGACAAGAACCCCCTTCCCGGCGCGGGTCACTGGTTCCCTCGATATCAAGGTCCCCAAAATCCAAAGGACCAGTGAAAAAATGGCCATCTTCCTCATCCCAAAGAGAGCAGACCAGCAAAAAACAGTCGCTGATGAGATTGCTCTCCTCGGTGCTGACGGCACCTCCGGCACCATCCGCAGGGCGGCCACCGCCGGCACCCACCACTCCAGTGCTGAGGCTAATAGCTCTAAGTTGCCTGCCTCCACCATGGCACCATTGGTACCTCCTAAGGAGACGGCAATGACAACTGTTCCTGCAGACCAAGGCCGCCAGCGCCACGGTGCCAACACTAGCAACGCTAGTGCCATGTCATCTGCCATGCGAGGCTCAGGCTGCAGCTGCTTCAACTGTGGCTAACCACAGTCTATTCCCCATCCAGGGATCATCTGGACATTGTCATCACAATCCCACCAAAGGTACTTACCTCTCTGCAGTGGTGGACCAACCCAAGGGTGGTGCTGGAAGGAGTTCCGTTCCAGAATCCCTGACCCATGTGTCTCCCTGATATTGGATGCCTCCAACCTTAGTTGGGGAGTACATCTTGGTACGCTGCAAACCCAAGGGACATGGTCTCCGGAGGACATGTAAAGGTCAGGGAGCTCAGGGCCATCCGCCTAGCCTGCCAAGCCTTCCTGCCACAATTGTCCAGTCAAGTAGTGCAGGTGTTGACGGACAACATGGCCTTGATGATCTATGTCAACAGGCGGGGGTGCTCGCTCATCGTTGTCCCTCCTGTCAGGAAGCACTTTGTCTGTGGGACTTTTGCATCCAGCACGCAATTCACCTGGAGGCTTTGCATCTCCCAGGCATCCGGAACATGCTGGCGGATCATCTCAGCAGGTCCTTTTTCTCTCACCACAGGTGGTCACCCGGATGGTCTTCCAGAAGTGGGGGGCTCCCCGAGTGGATCTGTTCGCCACCAGACAGAATAGGCAGTGTCATCAGTTCTGCTCTCTCCAAGGCCTCGACATGGGCACCCTCTCCGATGCCTTTCTCCTGTCGTGGGCGGGGGACTTGATGTACATGTTCCTGCTGATTCTGCTGATCAGCAGGGTCCTGTCAAAAATCAAAAGGGGCAAAGCGCGAGTCATTATGATCGCCCTGGCATGGCCTCACAAGCAGTGGTTCGACACACTTATAGACCTGGCTATGGCTGCACCGTGGCCACTGCTGAGCCGCCCGGACAATGGTCAATTCCTGCACCTGAACCTTCTCTCTTTTCACCTCTCAGCTTGGCTGCTGTGTGGCTGAACCCAGAGGAACAGGGCTGCTCTAGCCAGGTGCTGCAGATGCCACACAATCATATTATAAGGATGAACATGGGGGCGTAGGGTGTTCCCACGAGGCACAGAACATCACAGACTCCCAGAGGGAGGTGTTTCTGCATGATAGCTTTTTCTTTTATCTATAAGAAGTGGGTGACAGGATTACTGGGACGGGTTAACTTTTATGTGTAATGTGGGTGGATAATATTGGTCAGGCTCGCTGAACCTGAAAAGTGATACTGTACATAAGTACTAAGCATTACTGTGATTCCTGCTAATCAGGTATTTGCAGTTATAAATAGCTATTTAGACACCTGACAATTTGCACAAGAGGTGCCTGTGGTAATTGCACCCAAAAGCAGCATGTGCAAGCGCACTTCCCCTTAAACTATTATTTGATCAAATGGTTGTTGGCTTCAACCTGGTATAGGTCAGTAGTGATTTATGGTGCTCAGTCCAGTGTATGGTGGACGAATGTCCACATCACACCCAGAACTAATAATTGTTTCCTTGTTATCCATCTCAGAAGAGAGGTTAAAAACTTGAGTGGACACTTACCCCTTGTGGTGGTCCCTCCAGGACAGGAGTAAGGCATACAGGCAGAGGGTGATGTGGAGGAAGCTGACATTACCATTGTCTGTTCTATGTCTGTTTTGCAGATACAAATAGGACTTTAGTCACCAGGGCTATCAAACAAGCACCTCACTAGCACAAAATTATCTTAAAGAAACAAAAAAAATTAAACATTAGGAATATTCTGTGACATGGCATGGATCCACCTTGCTTCTTTACCTGGAATCGTCATTCTAAGAACACGGTTAAGTTCTAGTGCACTTCATATCCTCACAGGTTTCTGAGTCAATATCCCACATGAGGAGGCAGCTACAGGAAGGTCCATTACACTCATGGACTGTCCTGGCAAATCAAGAAGTTGTTTGTTCTCTCCTGGCCATAGCCTTGCATTATACAGTGGGATTGAGGATGACTCATTATCAGAATGCTCACCAGTTTTTTTTCCTTCTCTCATCTGCTTTACAGACTGGCTGGCTCCGAGGAAGAGGAGGAGGAAGGACAGTGGCAGCTGTATTTTAAACTCTATTGCTTCTTGGATATTGAGAATGTTCCCAGAGAGGGGGTGGAATTTGCCTTCATGTTTGAGCAGGTAAGATGTGTAAGGGGGAGGAGATTTCTAAGGATGTATGGGCAGGTAGCTATAAGTAGAGAAGAGGGGAGTTTACATTCATGTCAAGTGTGGGCAAGGCTGGGGAGAGGAGAGTTCATGCCTTTCTGGCAAGCAATTGGGTCACATTGTTGGGAGAAGAGGAAGTTTCCTTTCATGATTGTGTAGCTAAGGATAAAAGTTAGGAAGGGAGCCTGCTGCCTTAGTTCATTGGCTGGGCTGCACTGTATAGAGGTACAGAACAGCTTTTCTGGAACAGAATAGTAGTACTAGGAAGTAAAGAGGAGAAAAGAGGTAGGAAGAAAAGAAAGGAGAATGATGCCAGCAATTCCTGTCCTCAGTCAGATTCTTGTCGTGTAAGTCAAACTTCTCTCTCTAGCAAAATAATGAAATAAATTTGATGAGGACAACAGAACTGCAAGCCAAAAGCACAACTGGGGATTGCAAAAATTAAATGTGGCTGGACACATTTGATTCCTTTTTTATAAAAATATAATAAAAAAGTGAATAGACAAAGGCATACACTACTAGATCATGGGCTAGATTTTGTTACTTGTGGATACTGAGCCAGCCAGGGGATGATCTCCACAGTGTAGTGGATCACACCGACTGATGCTCCAAGGGCCATATGTACCATGACCTTATTATCACTAATTATTATCACTAATAAAATGCACAGCAGTTTGTATAAACCAGGGGTCTCAAACTCAGTTTACCTTAGGGCCGGTGCCAGTCCTCAAATCCTCGCAGTGGGCCAATAATGTCACTCATGCCTCCCAGAACCTGCCCCCCAAAACTCCACCCCCCCAAACTCCGCCTCCCACCTACCCAAGGCTCTGGGAGGGAGTTTGGGTGGGAGAGGAGGTCTGGGGTAGGGGATTGGGGTGCAGGGTGCAGGCTCTGGGAGGGAGTTTGGGTGCAGAAGGGATGAGAGGTTGAGCTCTGGGAGGGAGGTTGAGTGGGGGAGGGGGTCTGGGATGCAGGCTCTGGGAGGGAGTTTGGGTGTAGAAGGGATGAGAGGTTGAGCTCTGGGAGGGAGGTTGAGTGGGGGAGGGGGTCTGGAGTGCGGGCTCTGGGATGGAGTTTGTGTGCTGG